TTAACATCTAAAAGGAACCAGAATTAAATCGAACAAATAGAATCGCAAGGGATTTAATTAAATAAATAACAAAATCTGCAACAAAGAGACAGAGATCTGAGCGAACCTGGAAGAAGCAGACTGGAAGCTTCAGGGGATTGTTTATCTCGCCGACTTCAGAGTGGGAAGAGCAAGAAATGGCAGAGGATGTCGAAAGTGAGAGCCTCGTGAATTTTAAATAGGCGGAAAGGGGGATACTGTTGGGTTTAGGGTTTTACTCACCGCCTTTGGATGATTGAGTTTTTGATCGGACGGTTGTAAGTGTTTGCTTGCCAATTACATACTGTGCTGCGCTGGCATATTCTGAATTCAGTAATCCCGTTTCACAATTTTTCCGGTAACGACATCCTTCAATATCATTATTTTAATAAATAGAAGAAAATTTATTAAAAATTTAACATCCTCGAATCACACTATTTTGATTACATTTACAGCGTCCCTGTATCAGGTATCACTATTACTTTCATTTTACTTCAAATTGTTTTGAGGTTTGAGCGAGAAGCGTTCGGGATAAGTTTTTCAACGTAATTGTTTTACTGCTAAATAATTATTGATTGAAGTTACATTTTTATTCAAGATTTTAATTATCGTATTTTATTTTATAAATAAGTTTCCTTTACGATTTAATTAAAAAAATAAAAAATAAATCTTTTACAGTTGTATTTTTTTTGTTGAATTTTACTATCGTAATTCCTTGCCTGCATGATGTAGAAATATTGAAATAATAGTGTTATTCACACATTTATCTTTACCTCTCACATATATTTATTAATTTTTCGTCAATAATTTTCTTTAATGTTTCGATCCGATAATCAAAAATTAAGAATGACATGTAAAATGTAAAATTAAGTGTGAATAACAAAATCCAATACCCAAAACACAATTATATGTGTGACGTTGTATGGACTGGGCCTCAATCATTGGATCTTCACTTGCCCAAAGAATTGTTTGGGCTTGCAATAAAAAATTAATCACCAACGTGGAACTATATGGTGGCATCACATTAAAATTCCACATCAACAAATTGTCACATCCCAGTCCGGGCGGAACCACTTCCAGGGCCCGACTCCATTGTAGCACGATATTGTCTGCTTTGAGCCCCCAGCACACCCTCACGGTTTTGTTTCTGGGAACTCACATGAGAACTTCCCGATGGGTCACCCATCCTAGAAATGCTCTCGCGCACTACTTGCTTAACTTCAGAGTTCCCATGGAACCCGAAGCCAGTGAGCTCCCAAAAAGCCTCGTGCTAGGTAGAGATGAGAATATACATATAAGGATCACTCCCCTGGATGATGTGGGATGTCACAATCCACCCCCTTAGGGGCTCGACGTCCTCGTCGGCACACCACGACCAGGGTTAGACTCTGATACCAAATTGTCACATCCCAGCTCGGGCAGGACCACTTTCCAGCCTCGACTCCACCGTAGCATGATATTATCCGCTTTGGGCCCCCAGCACACCCTTACGGTTTTGTTTCTGGGAACTCACACGAGAACTTCCCGATGGGTCACCCATCCTGGGAATGCTCTCGCGCGCTACTCGCTTAACTTCGGAGTTCCCATGGAACCCGAAGCCAGTGAGCTCCCAAAAGGCCTCGTGCTAGGTAGAGATAGGAATATACATATAAGGATCACTCCCCTGGACGATGTGGGATGTCACACAAATTGACAAAATAAAATTCAATATATAATGAATTGTTAATAGAGGTTTTTTATGGACTTATATACAACAAATTTCGTGTTATGAATCTGTATGCAAGTTAGAGACACTATTGGTGTTCGTCGAAAGTAGGTTATTGGTAAATATCGCTGAAATCTTTACATAATATCAGTATATCAAAGTAATTTTTATGAAACCTATGATTTCTTGTTGCCTACCTTTGACATGACCAAATCCAACATCAGAGAGACCAAATATGAGAAAGAAAGAAACTCAGCGGGATATAAAAATGACTCAATCACTAGAAATGAGAGCTAATAGAATTTCGTGAAATGGGTGAGATAAAGATGAAGGAGGTGCAAAACTTTGAGATAGAGCTGCTAAGAGGAGGGAGAGTAATGGGATAAACGGGGGTTGAGAACTTGACATATACTCATAAAGTTAAAGTAATTCTACCCTTTCAATTACCTGAGGAATTGGGTGATTCAATAAACCAAAACCAACAATATGAGCTCCAGCCTATGCCTAATCAGTCGGGCTACAATGAAAAAGGAGAAGACCTAACTGCTCAATTGGGGCGCAATTATCCAACCAGCAAAAACCCAGGTGACGGGTTTGCGTTGCAGCTAGACCTGGCAATTTATTACACGACCCGTTAACACGACACGTAAACGACACGAAAATAACGGGTTTCGGGTCAACACGATAACTAATCGGGTCATTATCGGGTCACACGATAATAACCCGTTAATAACGGGTCCTTAACAGGTTTACACGAGAGTGACACGCAGGTAACCTATTTCAACACGATAAGAAAAATGTTATTTTGATGATTTTAATTTTTAAACTACTAAAAAAATTACTATAAAATGCAATAGATATAATGAATATGTATATATTGTTTATTAATTATTATTCTATTATTATTCTATATAAATTTAAAATTTAAGTTTTATTTATTTATTTATTTTTATAGTATATTATAGGCAAAGATTGAGATTAAAAATCATAAACACATTAAAAATAAAAATATCAAGTAATTTAAAAATACCAAAAACATAAAAAAATTATAATAATTAATTTCCCGCCTAATATTTCAAGAGTTTCATTCATTTCCTACATAATGTTTGGGAAATTTTGCAACCTATATCCATCTATTTCCCGTCTAATGTTTAACCCAAAGAAAAAAAATAACCAGCTTTTTTTTTTTTTTTTTTTTTTTATCTCTTATAACATTTTAACTTGAATAAAAATAAAATACGTAATAAAAAACATAAATGTAATTTTATTATTAAATATCATCACATACTAATTGAAACATAGTCTAATTAACACTTAAAATATATAAATAATTAATATATTTATTCCAAGTCATCAAAACGATAAGAGTCACTAACGCTTAAAGTTTATTTATACTTTCATTAAGTATAACATCAATGCGTATCCCATCAAAATGATAAAAGTATGAATAAACTCTTAAGTGTTAGTGAATTTATCGTTTTGATGGGATACGTATCCTACAAAACTAATTTCAACAATCCAACCGTCAAACTTGTTTATACATGCTTCGAATCGCATACTCCAAAATTGCAAAAAACAAACATTCAGAGATGAAGTAATGAGACAAAACTTTTCAACGGTTATAAACAAAAAATCACGATTTAACGGTTATTTTAACTCCAATTTTGATGACTTTTTACAGCTACACTCCTTGACCTTATATGAATACAATGAATGAATTCGATCTTCAATTTAAAATATTTACACTAGTGGATACCACAAATCTTATGTTATACTTAATGAAAGTATAAATAAACTCTTAAGTGTTAGTTAATGTATCGTTTTGATGGGATACGCATCCTATGAAACTAATTTCAATGATCCAACTATCAAATTTGTTTATACATGCTTCGAGATCGCATACACCAAAAATTGCAAAAAACAAACATTCAGAGATCAAGTAACGAGACAAAACTTTTTGATGGTTATAAACGAAAAATCACGATTTAACGGTTATTATAACTCCGATTTTGATGATTTTTTACAGCTACACTCCTTGACCCTAAATGAATACAATGAATGAATTTGATCTTCAATTTAAAATATTTACACTAGTGGATACCACAAAATCTTATGTTATACTTGATGAAAGTATAAATAAACTCTTAAGTGTTAGTGAATCTATCATTTTGATGGGATATGCATCCTATGAAACTAATTTCAACAATCCAACCGTCAAACTTGTTTATATATACTTCAAGATCGCATACACCAAAAATTGCAAAAAAACAAACATTCAGAGATCAAGTAATGAGACAAAACTTTTTGACGGTTATAAACGAAAAATTACGATTTAACGGTTATTTTAACTCCGATTTTGATGATTTTTTACAGCTACAGTCATTGACCCTATATGAATACAATGAATGAATTCGATCTTCAATTTAAAATATTTACACTAGTGGATACCATAAAATCTTATGTTATACTTGATGAAAATATAAATAAGTGTAGATTTTTAAAAATCTCATAACAATGTTATTTATTTGAGTGAAAAATTAATAATAATAAGTGTGAAAAATGTAATCACATGTAATGAAAAACTTTACAACGTTCATTAAGGGGTCAACTCCGAAATTTAGTATGTATATACTAATTTAGTATTATGTTTTACATTTTTTTGGGTCAAATTATGTTTTTCTTTTCATTTTTATTGATTTAAAATATAATTTTCTTAACGGGTAACGGGTCGGGTCATATTACCTGATAATATTAACGGGTTGATTTCGGATCGGGTCATATTACCTGTTTACTTTAACAGGTATTACACGACACGACCCGTTAAGTTATCGGGTATGACACGAAAACGACACGAACACAAGAAACACGACACGAATGCCAGGTCTAGTTGCAGCAGTCTTTGAATTTGGGCCGTTGGATTTCACAAATCCGACAGTCATTTCTAATCATGATTTTGAAAATAAAAAAATGTAAAAGACTTGTTGTCCATGTGGTACAACTTGGAATCTGGATTGAAAATAAAATGTCATCCAAATTTAAAAATGTTAAAAATATATATAAATAAATAAATAAAAAAAGAAAAAAAAAACTTAGGAATATGAACTGGGACGTGACCGGATTGAGAATGTAATTTCAAATGATAACACTTGATGTGATGTAACGGAATTGGTTACAAGTTTTATTTGAAATTAAACTTATTATTATTTTTTTAATAAATTTTTAATTTCAATTGTCCAAAAATTTATTTATGGAATATCAATACACTCAGTTAATTATTATTCACTAAAGCAATAATTGCTTTTAGACCACTTCCAGACTCCAGTGTAGTAAAAGCTCCTAGTAGAGTACCGAAGTCACTTTTCTCATCGATACTCAGCAACCAGGCACTCGGTCACTGACAGAGTAGCACTCTTATTTTTCAGGTAATCTCTTCTCAACTTCTCGTGATTTCCTTACGACCCGTTTGATTGCCAAGAAAAAGCGAAATATGAATTAAACTTACAAGTAATAATAATAATAATCTGTATTTTTGTTTCTGTTTCCCCTGGAAACTGTTGCGTTCAATGTTTCCATCGAGATTATTGGTTGGGTATTCAACCATTTTTCGTGAATTCTCTTTTTTTTCCTTTATTCTGTTTTATTTTGAACCTAAGGCGGCTGCTATTTTGCATCTGTTTTGTGGTTTTCAGTCAGTTTTCAGATTAAAGTTGGAGAATTTTGTAATTTGTGGATTTGTTTTTTGGAATTTGGATTCTGGGTTAGCTTGATTTTCCGTAATCATGTATGTGATTATAGAAAGATCTAATTTCCAATAAGGTTTTGCAATCATTTCATGTTTTGTGTTTCCACCAAAAAAAAAAAAAAAAAAAAATTCTGTTTGATGATGAAAGGCCATGTTTTCCTGATATGAGAATGTACTTCTTTTCGGTTTATATGTTTCATTGTTTGAAATTAATTGTCTGATTGAGCTTTGATGATTTGTGTTCGTGATTTCAGTTTTTGGGCTAAACGTTCATAATGCGTAAGGAGGCACAACCAAATTAAGAAGTGCAGTAGTACGAAACTTGGTGCTTCCATCTTGCGGTAAACCATTCAGTAATATGATTTCCGTTCGTAGATATTGCTTTAGAATGGATGTTCTTTCTTATAGTTTGAATTCCATCACTGGCACTTTGAGGCCTATACACTATTTGATTCAAACCCAAATTGACCCAGTTCCTAAAATCGCTTCAAATGGATATCTTGGTATATATGAGCGGTTTTTGCTGTGTAATTATTACTCGACCAAGCCCCCATTGCGATCTTTTAGAAGGAGAGAGCATAAGAGATCGGAATCCAATAAATCGACTCTTGATGAAGTCCAGTTTCAAAGGGCCTTATCCCAGTTGTTGCCTAGATTTACACCTGAAGAACTTTGCAATGTTATAACTCAGCAAGACAATCCTTTTGTGTGTTTAGAGTTGTTCAATTGGGCATCACAACAGCCACGGTTCAAACACGATGTTTCTACTTATCACATTACGATCAAGAAACTTGGAGTAGCTAAAATGTATCAAGAAATGGATGATGTTGTCAACCAAGTGCTTGCTATTTCTTACATTGGTTCTGAGGCGCTTTACAATTCCATTATTTACTTTTTCATGGAAGCCCGGAAGTTGACTAGAGCCGTCAATATATTTAAACACATGAGGAACAGCAGAAACATGGAGTGTAGGCCTTCAATTAGGACGTATAATATTCTTTTTACGGCCTTTTTGAGTAGGGGATCTAATTCTTACATAAATCACATGTATATGGAGACCACCAGGTGTCTGTTTCGGCAAATGGTGGATGATGGGATTGAGCCTGATATACACTCTTTGAATTCTATGATTAAGGGTTATGTACTTTCCCTTCATCTCAATGATGCACTTAGAATATTCCATCAGATGGATGTGGTATATAAATGCACACCAAACTCGTTTTCCTATGATTATCTCATCCATGGGTTATGTTGCCAAGGCCGAACACACAATGCTAAGCAGCTGTGCAATGAAATGAAGAGCAAAGGGTTTATGCCAAGTAGTAAATCATACAACTCGCTTGTGAACGCTTTGGCTCTTCATGGAGAGGTTGAGGAGGCACTGAAGTATCTGTGGGAGATGATTGAGAATCAAAGATCAGCTGAATTCATTACTTATAAGACAGTACTTGATGAAATCTGCAGACAAGGAAGGGTTGGAGAGGCAATGAAGTTGTTGAAGGATTTCAAAGAGAAAGACCTTCTCAATGGGCATGCTTACAGGAAGCTTCTATATGTTCTTGAAGATGACTACGGAGATCCGAATGCTCATGCTCAAATCAGGTAGTGTCATTGATTGTGAGCACATCTCCCATTTACTTTGATCTTATCTGCGCAAATCTACCGACTGCCGGTATTGTTAATGTGGGCTACTGCCTAAATTAGAGCCAGCCTATATGTGGATGGCATCTGGTGTGGTTATACTTTTCTGTGTTGAATTTTGATAAGTGCATCTGCCAAATTGGATTTGAAGAGGAAATAGTATAAATTTGAATCTTTTGTATGTATCTGTTTCCCCTATATTCATTTCATCGCGGATTAAAATTTATAACTGTCATATCAGTCATAGCCTAGTTGACTATATGATAACAATCTTTTTAAGGAGTTTTTGGATGAAGCTTTTCAATATCATATAAAAGTGTATCTGCTGGAACTCGTTGAATCTCTACCTTTAACTGAGAAGTATTGTTATCTTTGAGGAAAGTTTTTAGTTGTCAGATTACGATATGAAAAAAAAAAAAAATCTGATCCAGTGTTTACTTTATTGTTGCAGATAAACAGGCTTTAAAAGTTACCCCCCTTAACCCACCTTAAACCCGGTTGTTAAGAAGTCAGCACAGCTCACTCTCCGAGGAGTTTCTGCCAAGCATGTATTCACCAGCATCTCTTCCCTAAAACATGCTCCAGTGGCATCCTGCTTGTCCAAGACAAAGCCAGGGGAACTAGAAGATTCTGTGCTCCAATTGGTACAATAGCACCACCATGCCTCACTTGGAATCCACAAAATCACTGGTCAGTACCGCCGACATTAGATCTATGGTTTGTTTCTTTTGTTGCCAGGATTCTCAACTGTTTGAATGAATTAGTAATCAAATAAATAATTAAGAATAATGTGAGTGATTGTGGCAGAGAAGCCGAACTACAGAATGCCACCAATTCCCAATTTGTCAAACGTACTGATCAATGGCTCTCAGTCGCTCGCTCTATCAACACTGCCATAAAGGTTCATTACTTCATTTAACTTCTAAGCAACAAAATAATAATTATCTTTTGAGAAATGTGAGCTATAGTCGCAACCAAATCCACAAGGGCATGCGTCATGCTCCTGCCAATGACAGCTCCTTAACCTTTTCTTTGTGGCCAATAGCTGTGCCAAAAATTCTGAAGTTTTCGAGAGTGGAGTGTGCTAATAGTTTGACTCTTTTGTGGCTGGGTTTGTGTTGCAGGACATCGGAGACTTTGAGAACTGGATGAACATCGTGGAATTTGATTCTCAAAGTATCACCGCAGCCATCCAGGTTTGCTTTAGAGACATTGTGGATGAGCACTGCACTTCTGGTGGACCATTTTTTTGGCTGTTGTCTGGATGAATCTCACATGTTTGTGATTCCAGGCCTGGTAAATACATGAATGTGAACCTTTTGTCATGTGATTGTACTTGTTTATCTAATTACGAAGCGACTGGATTAGCATACCGGAAAAATTGTACACTGAACTAGATGTATTCGAATTGAGGGAAAATTTATAGAGGAAAAGGGATTTGAAGAGCCTACGGGGGGAAATTATGCATTAAGGATTGTTCTAATTAATTTCATTTAAAATTTCTCTGTATTATTTCGGAAATTAGTTTTAGAGTCCTTCTGGTGAACTGTTACATCAGACTCCTTTATTAGCTTTTGATGGGGCTTAGGGACCCTTAACCTGCCGGACTCCTTGTTCAATAACAACACTGCAGGACTTAAAACTCGACTAGGACTAGAATAACAAGCAAATTACCCTAATATACGTTGCTGAGAAATTAGTTCTCTCTCTTTGTCTTCGAGAGAATGAAAAGCCAGCTGAGGGAAAACCCTAACAACCCTCCGCCCGAGGTCATACACGAGATTCTTTCATGGTTGCCAGTTAAGTCCTTACGCCGCTTTGAGTGCGTCTCAAAGTCATGGCGTTCTCTGATCTCCGAACCCAAATTCGTCACAACGCACTTCATCAAAGCGATCAAAGATAAAGACCGTCTACACTGCCAAACACGAAGCGTCATGTTTACTGATGCGGCACATAATGGCCTCCACTCCATGCATCTCGACAAGTTTCTCGATCATAAGTATCACGATAATCCTAATGATACCGGTGATCGAAGTGTAGTAGCAGCCATCGAGCACAAGTATGTTTATAGCGAAGTGTCGGGTGTTTGGGTTTCCCTGTTGTGTTCCTGCAACGACCTGTTGTTATGCATGCTGTGCGACTCGAGGTTATATTTGGTTAACCCCTCCACAAAGGAAACAAAGAAACTACCAGAAATACCAAAAGAAGAGAAGTATCGTAGTTCAATCAATCTATATGGGATTGGATTTGATCACTCCACTTATGAACACAAGGTGGTTAAGGGACTCTACACGAAGCACAATCGCTTAATCAACCTCTTGCTCGGTGATTTTCATGAAGACGTTGTGTTTAGTGTTTATACTCTGGAAACCGATTCATGGAGAAAGATCGAGGGATCATTTCCCTACAGATTTTATGCAAGTGAACAAGGGATTATGCTGAATGGAGATCTCCATTGGTTTGGGGAAAGACTCGAGGACCAGTCACGGCTGATTGTTTCCGTCGCTCTAACAGGGGAGGAGAGGGTTCGAGAAATTCCGCTCCCGCTTGAATGTGGTTATGTCGGAAGTACTAATCGGAGGATGAAACTGGGATTCTTCAGACAATGGTTATGCATAACGTATTATTCTTGTCCTCATGGTGGGACATATAACGAGTTTTGGGTCATGACGGAATATGGAGTGAGGGAGTCTTGGACTAAAATGAGGGTCTCCATCCCATATTCGAAGTTAAAACATTCCGGTTTCTGGACAAAGTCCCATGATTTGATGGTGTTCGGAGAACAGTTAATCATGTACAATTTTAATGACGAAAGCCATTGGAAGATCAGCATTCGTGGAATCGGCAAAATTGGTCGCGTTTTTACGTGCTTGGAGAGCCTTATTTTGCTTAAACAACGTCAGAGAAATAATTTGAAGATTGAAGTGTGAAGAAATATCAATTCAACTCAATTGCCTTCTTTTTTTTTCATGATTTTGGTATTCTTTGAATATGCTTCAATATTGAACAAAGGGTTCTAATAGCTAAAATAGTGATTAATAGTTAATTTTCTTGTCAAACTTTTCTCTTAGTTGTCAAGTTTAGATTCATAAACTTTTTTAAATTATTTTTTAGAAAATTTTACTTCTGATTGTCTTTACTACTACTATTATGCATTCAAGCACTAATATGTTTGTGACACTAATCAATTATTTGGATTCACCCAGTAATATTGATTTCTCATAATTTGAAAATATGCTATAGATCATTAGGCCATCTCCAACCGAAGTCTGGCCAGAGGTATTGATTTAGCCTTCTGGCCCTCCAAGAAATTAATATTTTAACGAATAGTACATGACCATATTTGCTTTCATCTCTAACCAAGGGTCAAAGGGCCATAGGGCCAAACATAATTTATTATTTAAATTTAAAAACTACAACTTATATTTAAAAACTACAACTTAAATTTAAAAACGACAAATTAAATTTAAAAACAACATTAACTTAAATTTAAAAACTTCAACAACTTAAATTTAATATCCATAATCAACATCATCTTCATCATCCGCCATTGTAGGAGTATAGTCAGAGGTAAACAACTGCCGTCGGGTCATAATTTTTTTTTTCCCTATCAAAATAGGCCTTACTCATTGGAGTGTAATTCGAAGTGTTCATTTCCATATTCTTATCATCTATCTCTTCTTGTATTTGTTTGGCCCGTTCTTCATGCCTACGGTTTCTTTATTCCGCCTTAGGGTAGTTTGCTCCGCCATTAATCGCAATGAGGCCGTCACTTCTTGTTGAGCGGCGTAATCATCATTTGCCTTGCCCTTTTTCTTCAACCTTCGTGACTTGTTTTGTCTCATAGCCCTAGGTATGGAACCTTCACCTGAAGACGGATTTTCTACCCTTGTTTGTTGAATGGTAGGAGATCCATCTTCATCCATATCTACAGCTGATGATGTAGTTCCGAACACCGGCGTATGACCTACTCTATGTTGAGGTGGATCTTCAAATAACACCCATCCTTTACAAATTTCCTAACAATTGTGAAACTGAAAGGGTTTCGAACTGCCCTCCATTTACAATTCCTCTACTTAACGTACCTAGAAAATATAATTAAGAAAATTAAAGGAAACTAATTTGTGAAATTAAATATAATATAATTAAATGTATTTACAAAACTTAAGGGAAAGTAATTCATGAAATTAAATGTAATATAATTAAATATTTAAAATAAATTGTGAAAACACTTACTTCGTCGTATTAGTTAACGCTGCTTTCATGTCTACTTGTGGCTGCTAACAGTGTTTGATGTCATTTGTTCAAACTTGGGTGAAGATGTTTCTTCCATCTTGAAGAACAACTCTCGTGGTTTCGAACATTCAGTGAAGTGGTGCTTTCGTAGAGTAAGTATTTTTTGGACACACTCACACACAAGTCCAAACACCTTCACTCGTTTGAGAACTCTCCTTCACACTATCTTCCGACACCCATCTATAAGCCCTACAAAGAGCTTCATCTTCTTTTCGGGTCCAAGCCCTACCTTTTATTATAGATGATGCCATTTGAAAATTATTGAAATAATTGAAGGAAATATTTTTGAAAGAGGTAAGAAAATATGAGAATTGAAATGGTGAATGAATGGTTTAGGTATTTATAGGAAAAAAATTAGAATTTTTAAGAATTAAAAAAAAAAAATGGCTCAAAAAACCAAAAAAAAAAAAAAAAAAAAAAAAAAGAAAGAATCCAACGGTAACTAGCGTCAGCTAGCCATCGGATTCAAAAATTTGTTTAGGAATCCCTGTCGGATATAATCGACAGCAATTCTTAAATTCCTGTCGGATATAACCGACATCAATTCTTAAATTCTTGGTCCAGCCCGGCTGGCTGGCTGGCTCCTTTGGGCCAACCGGTTGGCCCTTTGGCCTTTTCAGATTCCGTGGGGCCCATGAGCCCTCTGGTCTAGCCATCAGTTGGAGATGATTTTCGAGCTATTTTCGGCCCTCTGGACCATTTGGTTGCAGATGGCCTTGCTGAAAGAACATTGCTACAAAAATTTACTCCAATAAAAAAGTGTAAATAAATAGTATAGATATAGTCATGTTTTCCTCACTTCATGTCCAAAAAAATTATGATCACACATCCTTCTATGTCCGAGAAAATTATGATCACACATCATTTTATGTCCAAAAAATTATTATAACATGCCGTTTCATATCTAAGAAAATTATGATCACACATCTTTCGATCATAGTTGGTCTAATATGAGCCTCAGATGATCTCTTAACTAGAAAGAGTATTCCCCTGGAAGCTAAAATTTATTATTTATCCCAATTAACATGGAGTTTTTTCACTTTAAATAATGTTTAATTCTCCCATTAGCATCCAACATTCCGCTGTAGCGCATAAATTGGATTGTGTATCTCAACCGGGTTCGAATCCCGGCAGCGGAAAAAAGTTTTTATTCTTTATTTAAATGGTTTTTTAATTCTCCTATTGACAGCCCACTCCTTTGTAACTTGAAGCACAATAAAGGATCATTTAGAAATGTTTTTAAAATGATTGAAACGTTTTTAATGAAAATATTTTTTAAACCAATTCTTAGTAAAAATCCAAGTAATTATAGAAAAACAGTTTAAGTTCTTAATGCAAGAAACATATATCTCGTGCTTCATTCAAAAAACACCTAAAATGCTTTTGGAATCCAAAATTAATTTCACCGAAAGCACTTCCAAACGAGATTTAAAATGGTTTGAGCACCGGTACTGCCATCTTTTTCGTTGATCGGAACTAGTTAGCCAAATGACTGAGATTTAAAATCACACACTATCCAAATTAGCTGCAAATTTGGGTTCAGAAATATTTCTTGTACAAATTAAGACCACAGTATATGGTGAATAAAACGATAAAACAGAAGAAGTGATCAAACCAAATCATTTAAACTTGACAGATCCGGTTTCTCTTTTCCTCGATACCCGACTGGGAAAACCTACGCCGAAAAATACGGTATCCAAAACAAAGTGAAGATGCATATATTACATTTATGGCACTACAGTATCTGTCACAAACTACTAAATTCAAACAACGAAGAATCATTCTGTAATTTCAAACAATGCTGAAGGCCTTATAGTTCTTCTCGGTATTGATTTCTGTAAATGCTGATGGGTTTATCAAAATAAATTCAAACAATGCTGAAGGCCTTATAGTTCTTCACTATGCGTCATCTCGATTAGAAATATTTCTAGTACAGAATGGCAATCAACATTAACCTAGTGAAATTAACTGCACAAGTAGGTACCTTTGATTGAAGACGAAGGTCCCTGTCAAAGTTGCGGGTGGAAGCATAAACAAGAGAACTGCTCTTTCTACTGAATTTGCTTCTACCATAATGATACTGGTTAGGAAAGGAAATGCGGCAAAAATTCTGAAGTTTTCGAGAGTAGAGTCCTTCTGGTAAACTGTTTAATCAGACTCATTAATTAGCTTTTGATGGGGATTAGGGACCCTTTACCCTGCCGGATTCCTTGTTCAATACCAACATTGCTGGACTTAAAACTCGACTAGGACTAGAATAACATGCAAATTACCCTAAAATGGCCTCCACTCCGTGCATCTCGACAAGTTTCTCGATCATAAGTATCACGATGATCCTAATGATACCAGTGATCGAAGTGTAGTAGCAGCCATCGAGCACGATTATGTTTATAGCGAAGCGTCGGGTGTTTGGGTTTCTCTGTTGTGTTCCTGCAACGACCTGTTGTTATGCATGCTGTGCGACTCGAGGTTATATTTGGTTAACCCCTCCACAAAGGAAACCAAGAAACTACCAGAAACACCAAAAGAAGAGAAGTATCGTAGTTCAATCAATCTATATGGGATTGGATTTGATCACCCCACTTATGAACACAAGGTGGTTAAGGGACTCTACACGAAACACAATCGCTTAATCAACCTCTTGCTCGGTGATTTTCATGAAGACGTTGTGTTTAGTGTTTACACGCTGGAAACCGATTCTTGGAGAAAGATCGAGGGATCATTTCCCTACAGATTTTATGCAAGTGAACAAGGGATTATGCTGAACGGAGATCTCCATTGGTTCGGGGAAAGACTCGAAGACCAGTCACGGCTGATTGTTTCCGTCGCTCTAACGGGGGAGGAGAGGGTTCGAGAAATTCCGCTCCCGCTTGAATGTGGTTATGTCGGAAGTACCAATCAGAGGATGAAACTGGTGTTGTGCTAGGATAGCACCAAAATATTTTTGGAACCAACTCAAGCTAGCCCACAGGAAATTTATCAAATGAAAATTCAAGAACAAAATATAAAAGACACAAAGATTTTAACGAGGTTCCTCTACAGTCAGTGTAACTGGAATACGTCCTCGGAGCAGTAGGAGCTCACCCAATAATCTACTATCAACCAAATGGGAGTTTACAAAGTGTTGGCAATCTCACAGCCCAAATAACCCAATACACCCAAAAGCTCTCACACACCAAAGAAACAAATAGAGGAAGAAATATAATGAATAGTTTCTTCTCTATACATATATCTCAAAGCTATTACAACAACAACTACTTTGGTAGATGATTACTAACCGAATGAAGCAGCAGCTTCTCTTCTCTATTTGCAGCTTCTTTCTTTTTCTCAGCAGAGTATTGAGCTCTCTCTTCTTCTCTATTTTCTCCAAAACCGAAATGACCTATCTTCTACTTTTCCCTTTGCTTCAAAGGCTATTTAACTTCACTTGAACCAACTCACGGGTGTTGAAGAAAAACAAAAACATTTTCCCTTTTTTCCTCCCCAAAACAAGGAAAGGTGTTTCTCTCTTTCTTTCTTTATAATTTTTTTATAGCCAAAAGTTTTTGCAAGTTGGCCACTATCCAACAACTGGGAGTCTTCAGACAATGGTTATGCATAACGTATTATTCTTGTCCTCGTGGTGGGACATATAACGAGTTTTGGGTCATGACGGAATATGGAGTGAGGGAGTCTTGGACTAAAATGAGGGTCTCCATCCCATATTCGAAGTTAAAACATTCCGGCTTCTGGACAAAGTCCCATGATTTGATGGTGTTCGGAGAACATTTAATCATGTACAATTTTAATGACGAAAGCCATTGGAAGATCAGCATTCGTGGAATCGGCAAAGTTGGCCGTGTTTTTACGTGCTTGAAGAGCCTTGTTTCGCTTAAACAACGTCAGAGAAGTAATTTGAAGATTGAAGCATGAAGAAAGATCGATTCAACTCAATTGCCTTCTTTTTAAATTTTTTTTTTTTTTTTTCATGATTCTGGTGTTCTTTGAATATGCTTCAACATTGAACAAAGGGTTCTAATAGCTAAAATCGTGATTAATAGTTAATGTTCTTGTCAAACTTTTCTCTTAGTTGCCAAGTTTAGATTCATAAACTTTCTTTTTTTTTTAAAAGCGTTCAAGGACTAACAGTTTGTGACACTAATCAATTATTTGGATTCATTGAGTAATATTGATTTCTCATAATTTGAACATATGCTATAGATCATTACTACAAAAATTTACTCCAATAAAAAAGTGTAAACAAATAGTATAGATATAGTCATGTTTTCCTAAATTGATGTCCAAAAAAATTATGATCACACATCATTTATATCCAAGAAAATTATGCTCACAAATCGTTTTATGTCCAAAAATTATGATCACAGGCCGTTTCATATCTAAGAAAATTATGATCACACATCGTTCAATCATAGTTGGTCTAATATGAGACTCAGATGATCCCTTAACTGGAAAGAGTATTTCCCTAGGAAGATAATATTTATTATTTACTAGCATATGGACACGCACAAAGTGTGTGAGAATTTTTTTTTGTTTTTGTTTTTGAAATAGAAGTAGAGAAAGAGAGTGATAGAGCATGTGGGAGTGGGAATTTTTTTAATTTTTTTTTAATTAGAGATATGTTTGGATTACATGTAGGTGAGGCTTTAAAAAAATAAAACAGCAAAATTTGGTTATGTGAAATTACATTTCTGTCCCATAATTTTTATTCATTTTCTATTTTAATTAGAGAGTTAAATTGGTAATAGAATTTTGGTTGACAATAATTAGTAGAGATGACAAATAGCATCAAGTTCTTTCACTTTAAATATCTTTTTAATACTCCTACTAGCAACAAATATCCCGCTGTAGCACATAAATTGGTTGAGCATTGTATCACAACCGGGTTCGAATCCCGGCAGCGGAAAAAGCTTTTTATTTTTTTATTTAAATAGTTTTCAAATTCTCCCATTAACAACTCCTTTGTAACTTGTAGCACAATAAGGGCTCATTTAGAACACCCCTTTGTAACTTTAGCACGATAAAAACTCATTTAGAAGTGCTTTTAAAATAACTGAAAACGTTTTTTATGAAAATATTTTTGAAACCAATCCTTAGTATAAATCCAAATAGATCCTAAAAAAGCAATTTAAGAAAGCGCTTTTGATGAAAATATTTTTGAAACCAATTCTTAGTAAAAATCCAATTAGATTCTAGAAAAACAGTTTAAATGCTTCCTGCAAGAAGCATATATCTGGTGCTTCTTCCGAAAAACATCTAAAGTACTTTTGGAATCCAAAATTAATTTCACCAAAAACACTTTAATATTTTTGAAACCAATCATTAGTAAAAATCCAGGTAGGCCCTAGAAAAACAATTTAAGTACTTCGTGCAAGAATCATACATCTGATGCTTCTTCCAAAAAACACCTAAAGTACTTTTGGAATCCAAAATTAAATTAACCAAAAACACTTTCAGTCATTTTAAAAGTTCTTCCAATCGAACTCTAAAATGATTTGAGCGCCAATACCGCCATCTTTGTCGTTGATCGGAACTAGTTAACCAAATGGTTGAGATTTAAAATCACACACACTACCCAAATTATTTGCAAATTTACGTTCAGAAATACTCCTTTTAGCAAATTTAGACCACAGGACATGGTGAATACAACGATAAAAAAGAAGAGGTGATCAAAGCAGATCATTTCAACTTTGACAGACTGAGCTGCCCGCGTCTAGGCTTGTGACTTGCGGTTTCTCTTTTCCTCGATACCCGACTGAGAAAACCTACGCCGAAGAATTTCCAGAACCTCTTCCATTTTCACGCCTTTACGGGCCAGCAGAGCCATGCCATGATAAAGCACATCTGCCATCTCCGAGGCAGCACGCAGCCTATCTTCGTTCTCCTCTAGTGTGCGGCATAGCTCGTCTGCCTCTTCCCTGGAATGAGAAAGAAAACCATGAACAATGGCTTACAGTGAAAATACAGAAGATAGCTCATTTATTAATATAGTTTTCGACTACGAGGATAACATCTATAACTCGATCCACCTAAAAGTCTGCATCCGATAATAACAAGCAGATTACTATTTCTAATTCTTTTACTACCTTTTTTCGAGTTATTGAGAAGTTAAGAAACAAAGTGAAAAAGATTTATATCATTCCGACTCAAATCTGACAAGCAATATGACATTTTGAACATCTTACCTGATTTTTGAGCACAACAACTTTTCATCAGATAGTAGACGGCGAGTCCATGAGGGTTTTCCGCTCTCTGGAACTTCTAATTCTTCTTTTCGCTTGGCAATTGTCGACTCTAATGAGTACAAAGTGGTCAAAGCTAATTTATGTTCTTCATCCTGTCACAAATCATCAGAATCACTTACAAAACATACTGTAAATTTGATGCATGAGTTTTTTTTAATCGATTCAATGTTGAAAACCTGTCGATGTTCCAACAAATCAAGCATTGGGGTGTAATAGCACGTCTCTGACCCTGTGTGGCAGGTAGGTCCATCAGGCTTCCCAAGGTATATTATCTGAGAAATAGGTCTGAGTTAAAGTAATTGATGTACAAAAAAATATTAGCAAGTAGATTCCAGCTGAACTAGCCAATGACATACGGAGTCTCTGTCACAATCAAGGAAGATTTCTTGGACATTAATGAAATTATTGGAGGTCTCTCCCTTTGTCCACAAGGTTGATCGTGACCGACTGTAGAATGTAGCCTTCCGTGAGGAAACTGTTGTGGCTACTGCCTCTCTGTTAGCAAAGCCTTGCATCAAGATGGCTCCTGTGTCAACGTTTTGAGCTATGGCCACCGCTAAACCTTTGTCATCCCATTTTACACTGTCTAACACTGTTTCAACCTGAAATAATATTGATGGATATTATGATCTCATCCATTTGCATATTCTATCCTGAAAATGTGAAGAGGACAAATACGGCATCCAAAACAAACTAAGTGAAGATGCATATATTACATCTATTGGCACTACAGTATCTGTCATGATATGAGAGTGATTTGTAACAAGTATTGTACATTTACGAAACTAAGTGAATATGCATATATATCATTGGCACTTATACACAAACTACTAAATTCAAACGATCAAGAATCACTCTGTAATTTCAAACAATGCTGAGGGCGTTATAGTTCTTCTCGGTATTGATTTCTGTAAATGCTGATGGGTTTATCAAAATAAATTCAAACAATGAAGAATCCTTCTCTAATTTCACTATGCGTCATCTCGATTGGAAACATTTCTCGTACAGAATGACAATCAACATTAAACTAGTGAAATTAACTGCACAAGTAGGTACCTTTGATTGAAGACGAAGGTCCCTATCAAAGTTGCGGGTGGAAGCATAAACAAGAGAACTGCTCTTTCTACTGAAATTGCTTCTACCACAATGATACTGGTTAGGAAAGGAAATGCGGCACGGGGAAGAAACTCTCACAGATTGCACAGAATGCAAGTGTGGAATCGCCATTCACATCAACTTTCCTGGGACATAAATACAAGGTGAAGCCATTTGTCACCAAAAAGGACCAACAAGGGAAATAAGAAAAGAAGATATCAATTACAAACGCATCCACAATGATACCTAGGAATTGAAGAAATATGCGTGAGACCCCCAAAATTAAAATCTTGAGAGGAATTGAGACAACGGAAATTATATCTGCAATAATAAGATAGATAAATCATAAGAGTGATGATAAAATTGTGTGTGTGTGTGTGTGTGTGTGTGAGAGAGAGAGAGAGAGAGAGAGAGAGAGAGAGAGAGAGAGAGTACCATAGCAGAGAAATTCTCCAACCAGCCCCTTTCTGATTCTTATGATGCCCTAAATAAAAAAGATAAATTTAAATAATTCTTTAAAGAGTTCCTCCTCAGAAGCTATCATAATTCTATCACATATTGGTTTTAACTTAGTATTCATCCTGTCACATATTGATTCATATGAAACGAATACAGTTCCACAAAGGATTCATGTTGGAGATGCAAAGACAGAAGATTATATGATTTCATAGTCTAATCACTCATTGCCCTAAAAATTATTTTTGAAAAAAATATCAACCTTCTTGAGGCTCAACTGTAGTTGGAGCGGGATCCATATCGCCAGCCGCATAATCAATTTATCGGGTACCAATAATATGAACGACATATCAATGGTCGATCGAGTATATATGGATCCCAGTCCTACGCCAGCTGCACAATGAGTTAGCAATAATACGGTTCAATGTAAGTTTTTAGTTCCATAACATTGTAGAACCAAACCTCCTATGAAGGGGGTTTGGATTAAACCGGTTCAAATCTATTCCGAGAGTTCAAACCTTCATTGCCAAATGACCTCAACAACATCAGTAGCTGCCTCCTTATAATTTATAAGCATATTTGAACACATTTTTTGCAAAATTTCTATCACGTTTCTACTGAAAATTTAAAACCCAGGCATATATTACTTAAAAGCTCCCAACTTTACACCACTTAATTACTCCAAATCCAAAGCAACAGCATCATCAATCAATCTTTTCTTCCAAAATCCATGATTTTTTATCGGGTACCAATGAATTCTTCACAACCCATGAATTTGCAGAGATTTTTTTTGTAATTCAAAACCGGCATTAATCGGTGTGAAAAAGAAAAAAACTAGGAAAGCAATCCATCTTAGTATCATATATTCATATCTCAAGAATCTGAACAGAAATAGAGCTAAAAGGGAAGCCTACTTGGTTGCTGCCGACGGCTGCTTGCTGAACATTGCTGCTGCTGCTGCTCAAGTGGTGCCGTTTACGACAATACAAAATATTACGTATCCGTAATTAGCCTTAAACCCAACCCAACCCAAATTTTGGCCCAAATGCATTTTGGATTGAAATGACTAGCGAGAGAATTGATCTCCACGCCAAATTCAAAATTTGACATCTTAACGTGGACTCTACCCGTAATTAGTCAAGCGGTGGTTCTCATTATTTATGAATTTGATGATATAGGTTCGGCTGTCTAGAATGTTGAATTCGATACTAATATTGGTGACAATAATTTGTTAAAACTAGTTTTGTTTTGTAAATTGTAGTCACCTTCAAATGTTTTGGAAATAAGTGTAATTGTGATGAGTGACGTAATTTATTCTTTTGATATTCCTCCTACACTGAAGAATTTTATTAGTATGCTTAAGATTGTTTTTGGAAGCCACTTAATACCGCGGTTCAATGATATTTCTCTTCACTCGTAAATGAGAGGTCTTAGATTCGATTTTCGCTAAAGACGAATTTGAACCACATTATTGCTAACCCATTGTGAGGCTTAGCCAACTCCCCCAACCCCTTAGGTAGATAATACCGTTTTTTTTTTTTAAGGATTGTTTTTGGAATAGCTAATCATATTTCAAATAGGCGATAAACCTTTGTTCAGATACAATCTTAAAACTTACAAGTTGTATCTTATCTTGCATGCAAATTTGATTGACAACTGCAACCAAAAAAAAAAAAAAAATCATTTAACCTAAGGAGTCAATTTACTCGCAAGCTCATTTGAAATGAAGATTTCTGACTTAACAAAGATTAGTGCCTGACTAGCGCCTTTTAGAACATATTGAGGTGATGCAAGGAGGAGATTTCTTCTTGAATTTCTTTTCTATTGGCTTGATCTCCTTATGACATTGGTATTTCATGGTTATGGGCAAATCTTCTTGGGTCGACTTCTAGTGAGTGGGTTTTCGACTTCAATTTTTTGTTTTGGTCTTTGATTTTAGGAAAACATTGAGTGTTGTATTTTTATTTTTTATTTTAACAAACGATAAGATTATTCACTTACAAGTGAAGAAGAATACCACTATGATTGGTGTTGTATTATCTTACAAATCTTGTAATTTGGCCCCTGAAATCAATGAATTTGATTGTTTTTTTCAACAACAACAAAAATCGTAAAAATTAGTAACTGGAAAGAAGGTAAAAAAAGTAAATGAACAAATGGAAATGAAAGGGCAAGATGGTCATTTTGTTGAGAAAGAATATGCCAAAGTGCCAAAGAAGCAAATCATTTGTAAACAAAATAAAATGTAATTCGTTACTGCAAAGGAGGTTTAAAAAGTAAATAAACAAATTGCAATGAAAGGGCAGTGTGGTCATTTTGATGATAAAGAATATGCGAAAGTGCCAAAAGTAGCAACAACATGCATAAAGCATTAGGGCATCACAAGACTCCTAAGCCAGCCGCAGTGATAAGTAAACATTACAACCGTTAGATCAAATCCCTGAAATCCAACGGCTCAGAAAGAAACCCTAACAAAACTGATGCAGCAGTCTCTTTCCTTTAAATCCCCGAGCTCCTCACTGTCTTCATCCTCTCCATCTCGCTCCTGAGTCTAAAAGTCGGCCGCGAGATCTTCTTTCGCTCATCCATTTTCTTGAGGTTAGCACATCTCTCTCCTCTCTCTCTCTCTCTCTCTCTTTCTCTCTCAATTTAGATTTTCTTTCTGTATCAATGTTTATGGCTTCGAAATTCTTGAAATCGTATCGTTTTGAATGTCATTTGATTGATTGAAGTGAATCGATGGTCTGGGTTTTGTTTATTGATCAATATTTGTGATAAGATCTGTGGGTTTTTGTTCAAATGGCATGTGGAGTCGTCGGTATTAGGGGTTATTCGTTTTTGATGAAAATGTTCGAGGATTTATGAACTGGGTTCTTGAATTTACATGCAGACACTTTGTTGTATCAGATGCAGGAAGATCCAATCTGAATTGGGTTTTGCAATTAAGTTTGTTAGGCTTCATTATCTGGTTTGTGGATTTATCAGTTCCATGTGACTCGTTCCCTTGAAGCAATATTAATCGTGTTGCTTTCCATAAATTTTTACCTCGAATTTTTTCTTGTTTATATGGGGATTATTGGTGCAACTAAATTTTTTCGTAAAGTAATTTGGTTATTTATTTTTAAAACTTTTATTTTGTTAATATTTAATAATATTATGCATTTGGGTTCAGTAATTTGATTGCAACAGTGATGATTCCTACAGACCTGTAATGATTTGCGGATATGATCGCAGATCTAAGAACATCTAAGGGACTGAGTTCAATTTTCTCTTGTTTGTTGTGCATGTTTACAAATTACATTAATTTTTTTTTTAAATTTGTTACTCTAGTAATTATTTAAGTAACTGTGATGATTCCTACAGACCTGTAATGATTTGCGGTAATGATCGCATATCTAAGAACATCTAAGGGACTGAGTTCCAATTTATGTTCTCGTAAATGCTTGACAGTGTTGATTTGTATTTAATTCTTAAGATTGTCTTAAATTTGCTTTTTTTTTTCCTTTTCCTTATGATGAATTGCAGTGCTGTCACGATCATATATTCATTTCAGGCTAATTGCCTGTTGTGTTTTGATGATTCTTGTTTTTGCACATGCAGATAATTTGCTGAAATCCCACCATGGGTAAGGAAAAGGTTCACATCAACATTGTGGTCATTGGACATGTCGACTCTGGGAAGTCAACCACCACTGGTCACTTGATCTACAAGCTTGGAGGAATTGACAAGCGTGTCATTGAGAGGTTCGAGAAGGAGGCTGCTGAGATGAACAAGAGGTCATTCAAGTATGCCTGGGTGTTGGACAAGCTCAAGGCTGAGCGTGAGCGTGGTATTACCATTGATATTGCCTTGTGGAAGTTTGAGACCACCAAGTACTACTGCACTGTTATTGATGCTCCTGGACATCGTGATTTCATTAAGAACATGATTACTGGTACCTCCCAGGCTGATTGTGCTGTCCTCATTATTGACTCCACCACTGGTGGTTTTGAAGCCGGTATTTCCAAGGATGGTCAGACTCGTGAGCATGCTTTGCTTGCTTTCACTCTTGGTGTCAAGCAGATGATTTGCTGCTGCAACAAGGTGAGCCTTATACATTATATGGAAATTTTATTGCAGTTCAGTTGTAATGATTGTACTTGTTCGTTGACAGTTCTAACTCATGTTTCATTATTTCTTATTTTTGCAGATGGATGCCACCACTCCCAAGTACTCAAAAGCAAGGTACGATGAAATTGTGAAGGAAGTTTCATCCTATCTCAAGAAGGTTGGGTACAACCCCGACAAAATTGCCTTTGTCCCCATTTCCGGATTTGAGGGTGACAACATGATTGAGAGGTCCACCAACCTTGAATGGTACAAGGGACCAACCCTTCTTGAGGCCCTTGACCTGATCAATGAGCCTAAGAGGCCCTCAGACAAGCCCCTCCGTCTCCCACTTCAGGACGTGTACAAGATTGGTGGCATTGGAACTGTGCCTGTGGGACGAGTTGAAACTGGTGTTGTTAAGCCTGGTATGGTTGTGACCTTTGGTCCCACTGGTCTTACCACTGAAGTTAAGTCTGTTGAGATGCACCATGAAGCTCTCCAGGAGGCTCTCCCAGGTGACAATGTCGGGTTCAATGTGAAGAACGTTGCTGTCAAGGATCTCAAGCGTGGTTTTGTTGCTTCCAACTCCAAGGATGATCCTGCAAAGGAGGCTGCCAACTTTACCTCTCAAGTCATCATCATGAACCACCCTGGCCAGATTGGAAATGGTTATGCTCCAGTTCTCGATTGCCACACCTCCCACATTGCCGTCAAGTTTGCTGAGATCTTGACCAAGATTGACAGGCGATCTGGTAAGGAGCTTGAGAAGGAACCGAAGTTCTTGAAGAATGGAGACGCTGGTATGGTTAAGATGATTCCAACCAAGCCCATGGTCGTCGAGACCTTCTCTGAGTACCCACCACTTGGTCGTTTTGCTGTGAGAGACATGCGTCAGACAGTTGCCGTTGGTGTGATCAAGAGTGTGGAGAAGAAGGAGCCAACCGGTGCCAAGGTGACCAAGGCGGCAGCCAAGAAGAAATGAAGTGTGTTGTGTTATCATCCGGCCATAACTGGATTAGTTTTGTCTAATGTCGCTTATTTTCCATTTTTGCGCTACTCTCTTAGTTTATTTGGACAGGTTTTATGAGTTTTAATTACATCGTAGCCCTCTAACTTTGCTTGGAGGAGCTGAGCGGTAAGAAGCGATTCGGGTTGCTCGGCAAGCTGTGTTGTATGCTATTTGTTATGGTTTATACGTTGAGATGAGTCGTGTAGTTGGTTATTGGACAATTTCGTATTAATGTCTGCAACTTCCGTGTTTTGTCTCTTTAATATCCTTTTGCGTTAAATTTCTATGTTCGTTGCTTTGTTCTTATAGGATTTTATCAGATTTGCTTCTGTTTCTGTGTCAAATTTATGTCTTCGTCTCTGTTTTAATTAACGTCGATATATATGGAGTCCTTGTGAAGCCTCTGTACTATGGATTTTTAATGGTGCTCTGCGGTACGGAGTTCAGAAAATTCGGGCCTTTTAAGCGAAACCAATATGTGACGACTAAAAGGCCCCCGAGTATCCTATAATTCAGAACACTACGGGCCGTTTGTTTGGCTTCATTAAATTTCCTTGAACTAGACTGGATTACACATTGGTTTAGTCCCATGTTTGATTCACGCCGTGACTATGTTTAATGAGACTCGTCTAGACTAAGTTGGACTAAAAGCTTCTTTTGTGTCTTAGTGAGGCCCCCTGAAATTGGCCGGACTGCTAAGCCAAATCTGCTGCTTCACCCCTCCCTGCTTCGTTCCTCCCATATGCTTCTATCTCGTGTCCCACAACCCTTTTCAAAC